CTGGGCTGGGACAGGTCCCACCGGTGCAGTGTAGCCTTTGTTTACATTTTGGAAGACCTGTACACCTGGAATTATGAATACATTTAGCACAGAATGAGATTAATGGTAATGAATTACCATACACATGTGAAAAAAATTTTTTTTGGCTGGCTCAGCCTGGCCTTGGGGCAGGGCTGGTGGGGTATGTGGTGCTGGGGATCAAACCACGGTCCTTGCACTTGCCTAAGCTTGCCTAAGCAGATGCTTTAGAGAACTGTGCTATCTTTCCTGCCCCAACCTTTGTTTCTTAATTTAGTTTTGTTTCAAGAGCATCTTTTTTTTTTTTTTTGGCAGTACTGAACTCAGGCCCTTGTGCTTGCCAGGCAAGTGCTTATTCTAGTGAGCCATCTCCCCAGCTCCCAAGAGCATCTTTTTTGAGAAAAACTTATTTTAATTTTTTCTGAAAACTTTATCTTGTAACCAATGACCAAATTATTGAGGGTGTCTTCCAAGAGACTATAGAGCTCACTGAGGGCTCCTTTTTAATGAACAAATGTTGACCACTTCTCTATCCACCAATTGGAGTCCTGTCCAACAATTTTTTCTCATTCTGACAATTTTTGTTTAATTAGCTTAAATTTTTAATGACTTGTGAGTAAATCAATTTTGGTGTCACTTAGACCAGCTGGTAACTTAAGCAAAAGCATGATTTAAGTCTATATCCCAAAGCTCAAATTAAAAAAGGAAAAGCTGTTCACAGGCTGACACACAAACACTTAACCAAGTACACAGAGCACATAAACAAATATCTTTGGGTTTTTTTGTTGTTTGTTTTGTTTTGTATTTAGTACAGGGTCTACAGGTTCTCACTACACAGATTGGACTCATAGTGATCTTCCTGTTTTCAGCCTCCCAAGTGCTGGGATTACAGATGCGTGCCACCACACCCAGTCTCAGTCACCTTTTCAGTGTTCCCCAGGGGCAGGGCCGGCACAGCCTGCTGGGAATTGAACCCCAGTCCCTGCATCTGCCTGAGCAGGTGTTGTAATCCACTGAGCTGTATCAAATATCTTTATAAAATCAGAATACACTCAAATATATTTTTGATCAAATTGAATTGTAGTAACTCCATTACAATTTATAGAAATTTATGATTATAAATAGACTAGTCAGATTTTGTTGTTTATCAATTTGCAAAGGTCTCTTATTAGAAAAATTCAGAAGGAATAGGATCTTTTATCTATAATTAATATGTATATTTTGATGTTTTATTTTGTTTATCTTAATACTGGTAAAATTCAGCTCAGTTATCTGTATATTTTCTATCATCTATTTAAACCTTAGATTTCTATTTTGTCAGTTCCTTCAATAAGCCCCAATTTAAATCCAGCATCATTTCTGTTAATTTCTTTTCCACCTCTTGCTTCATGGTACAGCCTGACAGCATGCTTGCTACTCAAATGGGTTGTTCAGCATTCTCTGGGACCCTGGGTCCCTTCCATTGCCAGTAGGGACATCTCTTCAAATGACCCTTCCTAGCCTTTTTCTTTTGCTTGATGGAATTGTCTTTATGCTGCTGTACTTCAATCTTTTGTAGAATTTAAAAACTTAATAGTATATACTGCCAGACAAAGTCTATTATGAGCTGTGAATTTTGTAGGGAAAAATTCCCTCTTTTGTTTTTGTAAGTGAATTTTGATTGTGTGTATGTTCAATAATTCCTTGACTGTGAAGGTTATAAGGATTCCTCATGATAAGGGAAGTATGAAAAGTTTTACAGAATTTTGGAAGGCAGCACTTGTATATGCTGGACATGTAAGTGTCTGTGTGCAGCCAAAGGCATTAAAGGCATCCAAACAGTGAGCAATGACATATTTAGTCACTTCACCAGTGTGGGTATAAATAAAAAATAAATCCTGAGAAAGTGTCTACTGAAACATGGACCCAGCACAAAGATCCAAATGCAGGAATGTGAGTAATAGCTATATGTCCAAAATGATTGCAGTGTAACCCTTGGGGATTGATCCCCGTAGAAGATGGGGGAAGATACACATGAGGAAGATTGTTAAACCATTTCTTGGGTCTGTACCTGGGTGAGAAGGAACTGTATATGTAAGGCAGAAGCTTTGTGATGAAAGGTGGCATGAGAAGCTGAAGCCCGTTGAATGGTATCTGGAATTAACAGTAACAGCACCCAGCAATCTGTCTACAGTAGCATTCCCCTCGGTGAGGGGTTCTGCTAATTGAGAATGAGAACATATATCACCAATAGAATAGGGAACATGAGGTGACTATATGACAACTTGGAGAGTGTTATGCAAATGAAAAAGATCTTGACCAGTACATAGTGGCAGTTTCAATGTGGCACATTACACTACAGATGAAAGTGCTGTCTGAAGAATGGCTAATTAAAGTGGATGAATCATCTTGTAAGGCCCAAATGACTGCTTGTAATTCAGTCTTTTGTGCACAAGAGAAACTTGTGTTCTGGAAGAGGAGGCTGTTACATAACCTCCCCTACCTGAAAATGACCAATCCACGAAGATGGATATGTCCCCTGCTATGGGAACTGAGCTTATTTTTGAAGGAAAGACAAAGGGTATGAGAGAAGCAAATTGAATTAATTTATCTGAAGGACAGTGACTATCAATAACACCAGGGATGTTAGCCAGTGAAGATAGTGAAGACGATGAAAATTTCCATGATCACCTTTGCTGAACTGAAGAAAAGGGAAGAATGATAGTTTGCACCTCATGACCAAACAGCTGAATTGCATGTGTTCATCCATGTGTGATTAGTTCTGCCACACTATCATGGAAGGGAGTAACAGTTTTATGTGGAGCATGTGGCATAAGCAGCCATTGTAAAGGACTCTGAGACTGTCAGAGGACCCCTATGGGCATAAACTGGAAAAATAATTAAAAATGTTGGAAGAAATGCGTCAACTCTAGAGAGCTGAGCATTAGAAAGGGCCAGATTAACTTTATGTAAGGCTATCTTAGCCTCTGGAGAGGTAAGGGCCAAGTCTCTCTCGAGAATATCAAAGAGAGGACTTAACTCATGAGTAGTTAGCTTAAGAGCGGTTAGTTAAGTTAGCTTAGACCCAATTAATGCTATCAAGTAAAGTCTGAAAATAATTTAGGGTTGTAAGATATTTAACCTAGATCTGAACACTTTGGGGCACAATATCTCTATTGAATAAGGTGTCCCAAATATGAAAAAGGTGCCATTGTTTGTACCTTTTCAGGGGCTACCGCTAGACCTACATTATGAAGGGCATCATCTAATTGGACAAACATTTGATGTTAGGTGGATTGGGCTACATGTGCTAGAACAATGTCATGTATGTAATGGCTAAGGTATGCAGATGGATAGATTAGATGTACTGACAGAATGGTTGCAGTCACAAACTCTTGGCACAGGGTTGAACTATTCACCAGTCCATGTGGTAGACAGCACCATTGGAAGCACTGCATAAGGCCCTGATTATAAATAGAGGGTAAACTAAAAGCAAAATATTTTTACCTTCAGGGTGGAGAGGGATTGAAAAGAAACAGTCTTTTAAATCAATCGCCATAAGAGAAACATGTAAAGTAATAGCTGTAGAACTGGGCAATCTCTGTTGCAGTGCTTTGATAAGTTCCATAGGGCAATTGACTGCCTGGAAGTCCCTTAGCAATCTCCATTTTCCTGACTTATTTTTTAATCACAAAATTGGGGTATTCCAAGG